AGCTCATCTATTTCTTTTTACCCCATTCTGTTCTAGAGCCTCTAATCATGTCTTTCACTCTGCTCACCATCTCTGTAGTTATCTGGGAGATTATTTCTGCTCTGAATTTTTCTAGAGCCTCATTCATCTGTTTTGTTACTCCCTGTGCTATCAGTTCAGGGTGTCCAGGTGGTTGATTATCAGACTTTTTCACCTCATTTCCCCCAAAATTGCCTTTTGTGGGGTGGAAGTCTGGGTTTATGACTTGCTTAAATGCCTTCTCATTTTTGTTTTGGGTACGTCCCTGGTTTAGTTCCTGGGTTGATATTATGAAGTTGTTTATTGTATGTATCTTTGTTGATCTATTTAAAACCCTTATGGAATGAGCTGGTGTTTAGGTTTTGAGTCTCTAATGGCTCTGAGGCTATCTCATTTTCATTATACTAGGAAGGAAAACTGGATCAATCACGACACCTTAGCCCAAGTCATACAATCAGCAACACCATAGCATCAAATGCCTCTTAAAAAATGACAATTTGTGGTAGTTATTAATCTATCACCTTTAAAAAATAAAGGGCCTCCTTCAAGGTATGTCTCTGCTGTCACAGTAGACAACGTGGGCAGCCGTGTGCAGTTATAAGTCAATGAGTCTCAGTAAGCTAGTCCTAGACCCATAAGATTCAGGCAGATTTCTGGTTGCACGTCCCAAGTTGAGCTCCCTGTCCTCCTGCAGGGTTGCACTCTGCAGGTTTCTACTGCAGGTTTCACTGCTTTTCCCCTGAAGAAAGTCCAGTTTCCGATGGGAGCTGATAATCCGTCCAACTTACCAGTCACGGTGGTCTGGTGTGCCTTTATTGCAGAGATTCCCTTCACTTTTCCAGTGGGCTTGTTTTCATCAGGGAGCCTGAGACAGGCACTCTCTCTGTTGTTCACTTCTGGAGCTCAGGACAATGGCTTTTGTCCCCCTGTGCCTCTGCAGTGTGTAACCAAGTAGCTACACAGCCAAAAGGCCAGAGGCCGGGGTCGGGGGTGGGGTGTATTGTTGGAGGTGCCAGCGCGCCCCAGCCATCAGCTGGTGGGCCTGCTGGGGGGTGGGGGGGTGCCCTCCTCACCCTGTCGTGGTGGCTGGTGGAAAGCCTGTCCTCGCTAAATACTGAACCAGCATTTTAAGTCCTCATAAAACATTTATAGGTTATTTAGTTCCTTTTAAAAATTATATATTCATTTCCAAATAATGTGTATTATTTTTTCATAAATTATGTATTTAAAGTATATTGTGTTGATTATATAAAAAATACCTTAACTTTCTCTTGTTGGATATTTGCTAGCTATATCTTTCCCTCTAATTTTCCAACATGCTTATGTACTAGAATTTTTTTCTTGGAAACAACATAAATTTGTATTTTTAAATTATCAAATACAATGGCCTTTAACAAAGTCTTTGTAAATAGGGAAGGGTGGAGGGGATGAAGGAAGCACAGGTAATGGGGAAAAAGTAAGAACCAAGATACATCATGTACAGGTGTAAGCACCCAATGGTAAATGTAAACATATTGTATACCTAAAATATACCAATAAAAGAATTTAAACAAAAATAATGGAAACATTAGTTTATTTACATTTACATTGTAATTACTGTTATAAAATTACACACATATATATATAATCTGTTTTGTATGTCACATTCTGTTCTGTGCCTCCTCAACTTTTCTTTGACCTTTCTCTATTCTCCTACTTTCCTTTCCATCTTAAAAATTATATATACTATTTTAATATTTTTTAGGGTACTCTGGGTTTTTAGTAGGAATATTTAAGTTAACTGTCTAAAGCTCTTTCTTAAACAAATAATATTTAAATTGCTTTAACTTTGTTCAACTTCCCTTTAACTTACAAAGTATTCCTGTTCACTATTTTATTTATGCCATTTTGTAAGCCTTGGATGTTAGACAACATTGTTTCAAATTAAATATTTATTTAAATTTGTGTCCATGTATGTAAATCTTTCATAAATGTTTTTCATCTTAAATTCTACTTCTGAAGTCATTTTCCTTTTTCCCCCTCTGAATATCTTTTAAATTTTTGTTTAGTGAAGAGGGAGTAAATTATGTATTTTATTGTTTTGGGAATATGTTAGATACATTCTGATTTTCAAAATATAGCTTTCTAGGAACCAATTCCAGTTACTTTCTAAGTATTTTTAACATACTCTTGCTTTGCCTTCTGACTTTTTGCTATTGTGAATTATGGTCTGCTCAGTTGTAGATTATTTGATGATCTTTTTTGATTTTTTTTTTTTTTATGAGGTTGGGAATGATGAAGGGTGTGCCCAAACAAATCCTTTTGTCAATATAATATACCTAATATACTTTGACTTTTTCTCAGCCTTTTTAGATTCCTTAATTTAACTTTCATTTCTTGTAATCCAAACAAAACATTCTAATTGCTAGGAAATCTATCTTAAATGCTAGGAAGATGTTCATGTTTTTAACTGTTATGAATAAAAGAATACCTAGGGGAAATCTTAATTAACATAGTCACTAGAATAAGTCTATTCTGTATTAAGAAGTTTCTAAATGCAAAAACTTTACAATAAGAAACAAATTTCTTATATATTTTATATGTGAAATGCATTCTCCTTTGTGAAGGAAACCCTGACAGGAGGACAGATAAGTATACAACTGAATATTGAAGGATGCATTAGCAAAAACCGCAGTATTATATTAAATTAAAATATAATTTAGAGGTTAACTTGATGGATGATGGAATATACTTTGTTGTAATGAATATTTATTTTGATTTTCTTATTTTGTATTATTTTTAGATGACCCTATAGACTAAGTATTGCTCTTTGGTGTACAGCCAGTTCATACTACCCTCATCTTTCAATGGCATATTTGAGCTGCATATTATTTTTTATGTAGGAGTGAAAAGATCTTGATATATTATAACAAAACTGTTGCCTAAATAGTTATAAAATTACTGCGGTCTTGCAGTAATTATATCACAATCATGTTTTATTTAGCGTCTACCAAATGGCAGGCACCATTTTAAGCACTTAACATTGTATTCTTTAATTATTATGTGATAATTGAATATTTCCATAGTGTTTCAAACTTCAGTAATTAAAGGAACCTCCTAAATTTATAGCATTCAGTGCTATCTTCTTCTCTTATTAGTTTTTCTACTACTAATTTATAATTCATTACCTTTCCTACTAAATCAACAATCCTTTTACTTTTCTTGTATTTTTAATAATTGTTTACTCACCCTGCATTGTTGCATTATTTTTCTGAGAAAAAGAGTCCAAAGATTTACTAAAAGGATTTTACCTGAAGAATAGTCAATCTATTCTTTTTTCTTGCGCCTTAAAATCATCCAACTCTACATCCATGTCCAAGTAGTAATGCCAATGGTTAAATGCTTTTAAATTTAGTTCTTACTTTATGCTTTTAGTGGTATTTCCCATTTTGATACAACTCAATGTGGAATTTTTCAGGCTTAGCAGAATTAGGTACCTTGTGTGACCCTCTACGGAGCTGCTCTATTAGTGAAGAAAATGGACTCAGTGCTGCCTTTACTATTGCCCATGAGCTTGGGCACGTGTAAGTACCTTCCATCACGGCAGTAATATGCCTTCTATTTGTCATTGTACAGAGTGCATGAAATTACTTATTGAATTGAATAATTAGCATCTTTATTTCTTTATAAAATATTAGTAGTGGCCGGGGATTTAGCTCAGTGGTAGTGCGCCTGCCTGGAAAGCACAAAGTCCTGAGTTCAATCCCTGGTACCAAAAAAGTAAAATAAAATATTATAGTGTAACTTTTTTCCTTTAAATGCTAATTCTGCCTCTTTTAAGATCTGTGTTAGGTCAGACAGGCTGCACAGATCCACAGATGAAACAAAATAATTAGAACTTGGGAATTCTTTTATTTCATTTACTGTATTGGATTACATGACAAGCACTTCTGGCCACTCTTCCTTGTTCTGCTATATATGAGCAGGTACTGCCCTCTACTATCTTATGGGAAAGCCTGAAGGGGCTCCTGGTTCTGGGGAACTCCAAAGAGTATTTGCAATATGAACTTATTTCTTGCTCTTATAGCTCAGAGCCCCAGGAAAGGACATGCCTAGGAACTTATTTATTAAAAGATTTTAAAGCACCCCTACCTCCATTGCCTCCCTATCCCATCATTTATCATAAAAAATGGAGATGCTCTTATTCATTCCTGCTTCACTAAAATTCTTCTGGGGTTCTGTGCTGTGTGAGTGGAGGCTGTGATTTGCCAGAACACCCTTGGAGCTCCTATGAAAACTCAGAAAGCCCTACAAACTCATCCTCTGAAAAATGATCTAAATGTACCCCCAGGGTACATCTTGACGTTTCTTTGTTATCTCCTAAAAAGACATTGAGGCTACAGTTGCCCCTCTTAAGTTTGACTCCATTTCTTTTCCTGGTCATGCCTTCCAACATGATGAGAGCATTCGTGTAGAGCAGTATGAAGTGGAGATAGTTTTTAGTTAACTATCTCACCTTTAGTTCCCTTTTAGCCTAAAGGGGTCATGACTGTCAGCATACTGCACACTCAGTTTTCTAACTTGTTTATGAAATGGTGGGTTAGAATGAAGAAGGTATCATTGAATTGCTACAGCAACATCTGGGAAGCACCGTTTGGTGGTTTCCAGAGTTGCTAACTAGAAGTCTCTTCTTCTAGAAAGTGCTATCTTATTTTCTTCCTGAGAAACTAAGTGTCTCTAGATTACTTGTAAGTAGTTTAATAAATAAAATAACTTAAACAACAAATTTCAACAGGTAAAAAATTGAAGTAGATGATTTCACTATTCCTTCTAAATTGGAGTTTATGCTTGAGTTTGCAAAAGACGGTAAAGGATCTGTTATCGACCTACTAATTAATGTAATATCTTTGTTCTTGTTCTAATGATTTGCTTGCCCTTTGAGAAACTTTTTTATTATTCCCAGTTCCACTGATCAACATTAATTATAGATTAGAGCCATTACTTAGGTTGTTTCATAAGAAAATAGATGGATATTACAGTATGATAGAGTTCAAGAATAAAGAATCCTTTTAGATCCTATAGCAATAGTCAGTGGCCCAGAACCTAGTGTAATATCACCTTACCTAATATGTCCACATATGTCTCCTAGGATATCCCTGTTGAAACTTTCAGTCATTTTTATGTGAATGCTATACCCATTTGTGAGGAGGTGAGCCATATTCCAAATATCTTGATTGTTTAGAATCAACAGATCAACAGAGTATGCTGCTGACTGATCAAAAGCATAACCTTGTGTTTCTCAGAAATCATTCACTTCTAAAGGTGTAATTACATTTGTATGTGTCCCTTACGGAGAGTTACAACATACAAGATCTGATGTAACCAGATTTATCTATATTTTACATTCTACTATAGTAAACATATAAGAAATAAATTATTAATATTATGTACATTTTTATAGTTCTCTTAAATGTTTATTTTTATTTTCAGATTTAATGTTCCACATGATGATAGTTTTAAGTGTAAAGAATCTGGAATTAAGCATCAATATCATGTAATGGCCCCAACTCTAAATTACCATACGAGTCCTTGGACCTGGTCAAAATGTAGTCAGAAATATATCACTGAATTCCTAGAGTAAGTCTGAATTTATATTGTTTACATTGAATAACTGAGCATTTATTTGACTCTAAATTTGTGGTTTGTTTGTTCTTTTAAAATCTTTCAATTCATTTTGTTTTTTAATTGTTCAGAAGTAAGCCTATTTTCACTGTACAAATGGGAATTTAAACAATAAAAGTGATGTATGTGTATTATTTCTCCTTTACCGAAAAAGCATTTTTATTATAGTCAGACCTATTTATCTTATTTCTATAAATTTTTATCTTTTCTTGGGATGAAAATTCTGTTTGGAGAAGACTTAATGGCAGTCACGCCTCCTTACATGTTTTTGACATTTTTAGAAGTTACTGGTTAATATTTTGAGATGCAATTGAGTGCCTCAAGTTTGAGGTACTCTTGAAGTCAACCAAATAGCTCTCAAAACCCACAGAGACCTGGAGTTTTCAGTTTTATATCCTCTTTTGGAGGCTCTTCTACTATGAATAGAGGGGGCAGATCCAGGTTTTCCTTGCCTCATTTTTTGACCTCTCGGTTTTCTGTTTCTGAATTTCTTTTCCCAAACAATGTCTTTACCACAGTCACTGAACATCCAAAAAGGCAAGTCAGGAAATCTTTTTGCATAAATGAAATACTATTTCATTTGTTCTACTGTATATTCTGATCACCAATTTAACAGCATTAGTATTTTCTAGTTATTTCTCTCTTGATGAAAGGTATGGGAATAAGTAAAACTGTGCTTTGGAATGTGTTAATAATTATGACCTATAATTATCACCATTAGTGAAAATTTATCCTTCCAAGGGAATTTGATTTAAAAGCATAACATATAGTTGCTGATTTGTACATGATTACTTATAACTGTGATCAGTGTTTAACTACTGTGTTGATGAAAAATACCATAGAATGTGCTCTTTCTTGAAAAAGAGAAATATTTGATTCTCTTTTATAGAGATTTTTAAAGTTACATATTCATTTTATTAAAAAATTAATATGTCCTTTTAGCCAGTAAAAGTTTCCAAAAATATTTCTTTTGATTATTACAGTGGAACAGATTGTTGCTTTTAGCTCATTAAGGAAAGCTACACATTTTCATAGTCTTCTGTAGACTGGACATTTTGTGAAAAAATAGCAAATATATATACATATATATATATATATTTCCCATGCTATTTCTATTGTCTTAATATATCATGTACAGCTATGTGTTACTTAATGACAGATACATAGTCCAAGAAGTGCCTCCTTGGGTGTGTCTCTTGTTTTGTGAGCGTCATGGAGTGTACTTGCGCAAACCTAAATGGTATTGGTCAATCATTTGATGTGGCCCCTTGACACAATTGAGAGACGCAGTAAACATGAAATACATGAAGCTGCTGCTGGCATATATTTGGATGGGCATACAGTTCCATAGTAATTTTTTATAAGTAGGAGTACATTCTAAAATAATGATAAAAAGTACAGTAAATACATAATTCAGTTGCAATCATTTATTATCAAGTATTATATACTGGGCATAATTCTGTGTGATATACTTTTATAATGCTGTTGGTGCAGTAGGTTCATTTTCAGCAGCATCACTACAAATGTGTGTCATGTGTTGCACTATAACATTATGATGTACAAGGTCACTAGGCAAACAGGAGTTTTTCAGTAATCTCATGGGACCGCCATCTTATTTGTGCTTCATTATTAGCCTAAACATCTCTACATGACTCATGACTGTATTCTAATAACAAATTACAAGATAAATACTACCACTCTCAATTCACTGATGAAGGAAATTAAACTCAGGGTGATTCAATAATTTGTTCACAGCCATGAATCACAGGAAGTGATGGGATCAAAAGTTTGGCTCCCAAAGCCAGTGATCTTGACTGTGCTGTGGTCCCTCCTGAAGAGACCCCTTGAGTTAGAAATGGCACAAGATTTTTTGAAATTTCCTTTTTTAAGTTTGTAACTGAAAATATACTTTCTCAAGTGATTTAAAAACTTATTTTTATTTTTATAGCATTTTGACATTTTTTTACATTACATTTAAGGCATTACTATTGGATACCAAAGCTGACCAAAATTTTGATGTAAATTATATTCTGTGAATTTATTACACACGTGCACACACATGTGAGTGTTATACATGTGAGTCGAGTGCTCTGTCACTGAACAACACCTTCCAACCTGTTGATTTTTAAAAATTGCATGTTCTGGGTAGTCGTGGGGATTAAATACAAGCAAGCACGTTAAAAATCCTTTGTAAACTATGAGCTTGTCATTGTGTAAAGGAACATTGCTATATGAATGGGGGTTTTTTGGTACTGGGGATCGAACTCAGGACCTTGCGCTTGCAAGGCAGGCGACAGCACCACTGAGCTAAATCCCTGGCCCTATACGAATGTTGATATGAGTTAGTTTTTAAATTGTGGAAAAATGTGGATATTCTCTTTGAAAGGAAAAAACTGCAGAAAATGTGGTGAAGCATGTTAATCTGAAGTGTATCCATGTGTAGTCACCATGTTTGTTTTCTGTTGGTGCAGTACTGGTCATGGAGAGTGCCTTCTTGACAAGCCAAATGCAAGAGTATATGACCTATCCACACAACTCCCTGGCTTAATATACGATGTAAACAAGCAGTGTGAACTTATGTTTGGCCCTGGATCACAAGTGTGTCCTTATTTGGTAAGAAACATTTTAACATTTTGTTTAAAATTACCATAAAGTTGTAGTTAAAATATGTAATTCAGATCCAACATGGCTGAGTAGAGGAGGAGTCCCGTCAGAGCTGCTCAGAAAGGATCCACTGAAGCCACAGATACTCTGTAGTGAGGGAGGGACTTACACTCTGGAACAGAAAATTAATTGGAAAGGCCATACATGTACCACTCGCCTCACATGTGGTACCAAATATCTGTATCACTGAAATGGGGAAGTGGCGCTACCATAGCTGTCCTGCACTGCTCCTGTCCCCATGCCTCTGTCCTGGGTGCATTCCACACAGCCTGAGGGAATGGCTGGACTTCTGGGACAGACTCTGCATACACAGTATGGCCCCTGCTTCCCATCTCTCTTGGGGAATGCTGCAAATTGGCGTCACCCTGACCAACACCCACTGCAGGCAAGGAAACACCCCTCCACGCTGGGAAGAGAATAAATAAGCCAATAGGGCCTGTCATCTCTCTTCGGCGCTCACTCCTGTCTACCTGCTCCTGTGGGCCTGCTGGCATGCACACGTGCCCAGTGACTCTGTTATCACACTTGGGGGGTGAAGAGTCCTCAAACCAGGCCTAGGCACAGCATCAGATTCAGTCATTCTCTTGTTGGAGTGTTTGACCTGGGCTCCCACAGCATTCTCTGTCTCTCTGTTTCTCTCTCTCTCTCAGACTCTGTTGTTCGTGCCCCGCCCCCAGCTTTGGTTTAATTGTTTCCTTTCTTTCCCTCTTGTCTATTTTGTTTCTTCAACTCAGGCTTCTGTAGCAATACTATTTAAAAAATTTTTTTACTTGTTTTTCCCACTTCTCAAATTCTTCTTTTCAATTATTTTGTTCCCTATGTTCTGCTCTGTTACTCCTACGTTCTTACTGATTAACTGTCTGTCCTCTCGATTCTCTTCTTTTTGCTCTTCTTTTTCTTACCTAGGCCCCTTGCCTTCCCTTGCCTCTTCTCCATTTTATAGGTGCACAAATACATCGATAAGTTCTGACAACCTTGTATCTTTCCTCAACTCCAAAGCATACCTGCTCCCCTACATCCCATCCTCATCGCACAGATGTCTTCTTCAAACCCTCAACACTAACCCTTCATTCCAGCTAAGAGACCTTCAACAGAATTTGACCCCTTACCTAATACTTTTACCTATTATTATTTCTCCTATCTACCTCACCTCATACTGATTTACATTCCTCTTTCACCCATCCCATCATCTCTTCCCTTCCCTTCTCTTTCCACACTGCAGGCTAACTGGTAATAACAATAAAGTATCGGCTGCAAAGTGTATGGATAAAAGGTAAAAAATATAAATGCAAGGTTTTTCACACATAAGTGATACATGGTTGGATCTGTTATTGCTATTATTACTAGTAGTAATTTTTACCTCAAAATACAGTGACAGGGTCCAAACCAATAGTTAAAGGGGTAAATATTCTCAAATAAAGCTGAAAACGTCTCACTGAAAAAAATCTTCATGTCAACTACAATCTCTCCTCAACTTACTTAAGCTCAGCACACAGCACCAAAAACAAACGCAGACAATATCTATCTGTCTCTATCTATATCTATACCTATATCTATATACACAAATACATACTACAGGAATATGAGAAAATAAGGCAACAAAAGGCTCCCAAGCTCCTTCAACTTTTCCTAGGCAGATCTAGGGTCACCAGTGGAGAGGAGAGCAAACACCAGGTGGTAAAGCATTACAAATTGATTAAAGAAGAGATAAAGAAACCTTCAAACTAAAACTCATCAGAAGAGGCAAAGAAGGTCACTACATGCTAGTTAAGGGAAAAATCCAAAAGGAAGAGATTACATTGCTAAATGTATATGCACTGAATACTGGAGTACCTATCTTCACAAAACAAAAACTGCAAGACACAAAAGATCAAATACCAACACAATTATAGCAGGTGACCTCAATATCCCACTTTTACTCTGAAAAAGGAAATCAAAGAGGGCATCAGAAAATGGAAAGATAGCCCTTGTCCCTGGAAAGGCAGAACTGATATTGTCAAAATGGCCATTCTTCTAAACCTGATACATAGATTTAATGGAATCTCAATCAAAATATTTACTCCTCACAGAACCAGAGAAAGCAATCTTTAAATTCATATGGAAACAGAAGAGATCCGGAATAGCAAAAACAATTCAAGGCAACAAGAGCAAAGCAGGAGATAACACCATACCTGAATTCAAGTTATACCACAAGGCTACAGTGATTAAAAAACAGCATGATATTGACACAAACATGTTTAATAGAACAGAATAGAGCATGCAGAAAAAACCCCAAGCATATTCAGTTATTTGATCTTTGAAAAAAGGGTCAAAAACATACATTGGAAGACATATAGCCTCTTCAGCAAATGGTGCTAGAAAACCTGGCTATCCTTATGCAGAGGGTTGAAAGTGGACCCATGTCTCTCACCATGCACTAAACTAAACTCAAAACGGATAAAAGATCTAAATTTAAAACAGAACCCTTTAACATAGTGGAAGATAAAATAGGTAAAGCTCTTGAAGTCATTGGGGTAGGCAAGGACTTTCTGAACAGAGCTCCAATTGCACAAGAAATAATAGGAAGAATTAACAAATGGTATTACATCTAATTAAAAAGCTTCTATTAGTGAAAGAAACAGTCATTAGAGTGAAGGGACAACCTGTAGAATGGGGAAAAATTTTGCCAGCTATTCTTTGAGGACTAATGTCTAGAATATATAAAAAACTCACAAAAAAAGCAGACCCCCCCCATAAAAGATCCAATCAAAAAATGGGCAAGTGAGATGAGCAGACACTTCTCAGAAGAAACACAGATGCCCAATAAACATATAAAAATGTTCAGCATCTCTGGCTATTAGAGAAATGCAAATTAAAACAACACTAAGATTTTATCTTATGCCAGAAAGAATGACAATTACCAACAAATTAAATAATAACAAATACTGGCAGGGTTGTAGGTTAAAGGAACCCTACCACACTGTTGGTTTGAATTTAAACTAGTACAGCCACTATGGAAATCAGTATGGAGATATCTCAAAAAACTAAAACTAGAAATTCCATTTGACTCAGCTATTCCCTTTCTAGTTATTTTCCCAAAGGAGCCAAAAATATCATATTTCAGAGATACATGCATAGCAATGATTATAGCAGCACATTTCATTATATCTAAGTCTTAGAAGTGGCCCATATGTCCAAAACCACAAATGGATAAAGAAAATACAGTATCTATACATTATGGAATACTATACAGCTATAAAGAAGGATAAATCCAACACATTTGTAGGAAAAAAGAATACAGCTTGAAAACATAATGTAAAGTGAAGGAAATTAAATTACACAAGTTTAAATACCATATAGTATTTTATTCGAATAATCTGGAGTACAAATAAAGAGGAAAATAAAAGGTCGATAAAAGGAAACAGGGAGATAGATTTTTTGCAAATGGGAAGGGAATCAAGAGTCTGGGGGCAGACAGAAGGTGGGCAACGGGCTGTAAAAAAATTAGAGATGCGTCATGTCCATGTAAAAACTATCCTAAATGAGTGTGATCTTCATATATCACAAGCAGGAATGAAACTATAATAATAATAATGAGTAAAAGGGATCGAGAGATAGAGAGAAGGAGGTGGCTAGGGAAGGGATGGAGAATAAAATGAATCAAGGTACATTCAGTACAATGAACCCACTCCCTAATATGAATGTAAACATCATGTACTCCAAACATGAACTAATAAAGAAGAATATACAATTCACAGTGCACTTTTATTCTCTTGCATGGAAGAGGAACTAAATATAGTTTTTAAGTCTGAAAAATCTGGTGCTTGGTAGAAAGGAGTTAAAAGTAAGAAAGTAAAACTAATTGAATACTTATTTGTGTCAGGTAGGGTTAGGTTCCTAACAGTCATCATTGTGCACTTGTACGGATTCCTGTAATTTATGGTAACTTATAAAACAGAGCTCCAGAGCAGTTGGATGACGTGAAAATTTAAAATGTTTAGATTTTTTTTATTATCAAATGGTATTTGGGGGTAAAGGATAAAAGGTAGATGGTTTGCTAGGGAGTTATTTTAAAAGCCTCAGGAATCTAATAGACTACATTTTCTTTTACATGGCTTTGAATCCAAAAGAATTAAATGGGGGAATAGTATTTAGTTTTCATGGAATTATTACTCTATAATTTACTTTGAGAGTTTTTCATAGACTAGGTACTTTTTCTTTTAAATTAAATTCTTTTATTGGTACATTGTAGGTATACAACACAATTACATTTCTCATTGGGAATTGTACCTTTACATAATGCATCTTGGTTCTTATTTTTTCCCCATTCCTAGCCCTCCCTTCACCCCCTCCACCCTTCCCTATTTACAAAGACTTTATTTCCATTTTTTCCATTTCTCAGCATTTTTCCTTTCCCTTCTTTCCTTTCCCCTGCCCCTCCCACTACCCCTACCCCTTTGGACCTTTTCTTCCTATTTTGTGTTATTGATTATTCATTCTAATCATTGGTACATTTTAGGTATACAATATAATGACATTCATCATTGGAAATTTGCACCTTTACATAATCTCTCTTGGTTCTTATTTTTCACCCTTGCCCAGCCCTCCCTTCAACCCCTCCATTCCTATTTACAAAGATTTTGTTCCTATTTTCCATTTTCTCATATTAATCCCATTCCCTTCTATCCTTTCCCCTAGCCCTCCCACTTCCTTCCCCTTTGCCCCTTTTCTTCCTATTTCACATTACCTATTATACATTTAGTCCATATTTACACTTTCAGTTTCTCACACCAGAGAAACTATTCGGTATTTATACATGTGTGTCCTATTTATTTCACTTAAGAGTATCGCCTCCATGTGCATCCACTTAGCTATAAATGTCTCTAATTTCTCATTTTTTATGCCTGAGTAGTACTCCATTTTATAAAAAAACACATTTTCTTTCTCCAGTCTCCAGTTGATGGGCATTTGGGCTGTTTCCAAGTTTTAACTATTACAAACTGTGCTGCTATGAACATGGGCACACATATATCACTGTAGTATGATTCTTTTAATTCTTTGGGGAAGATCCCCAGCAGTGGAATAGTGGGGTCAAATGGGACTTCCAGTCCTAGTTCTTTGAGGTATCTCCATACTGATTTCCACAGTGCTTGCACCAGTCTACACTCCCACCAGCAGTGGAGCAGGGTTCCTCTTTCCCCACAGCCCCACCAGCATTTGTTATGGGTTGATTTCATGATAGCAGCCATTCTTTCTGGAGTGAAGTGGAATCTCAGTGTTGTTTTCATTTGCATCTCTCGAATGAGCAGTGATGTTGAACATTTTTTCATGTAATTATTTGCTATTTCTACTTCTTTGTCTGAGAAATGTCTGTTCATTTCAGATGCCCATTTTTGGATTGGTAGACTAGGTACTTTTAATTTCCACTGAAATATTTGATTGTAACACTTTTTCTGAATCTATAATCATAAATTCTTTTATGTCTGTGTAAATTTAGAATTTAGTTTAGAATAAATGTCTTTTTAAAAAAATGACTTCAGGCCTCATTTTTCCAAGCAGAGTGAACATTCTACTTTCTTCATGACTCTGTACACCTTAGGCAAATTGTTTCCTGCCTTATTAGATTGCCAGCAACATTGGAGCAGAAGTGCAAACTTATTCATTCATTTAAATAATACATACAGGTTGCACATCCCTAATTTGAAAATCCAGAATTGGAAATGCCCTGAAATCTGAAAAATTTTGAATGCTATTGTGCCATTACAAGTGAAAAATTCCATACCTGACTTCATGCGACAGATGATAGGCAAAACACAGGTACACTACTAAAAATCTACCTTCTGGGGCCGGGTATTTAGCTCAGTGGCACCACCCCTGCCTCTGCAAGTGCAAGGTCCTGAGTTCAATCTCCCATACCAAAACCCCCCCCGCAGAAAACAAAAAGCTCAAAACAAACAAACAAACAAAAAACAAAACCAAACCACCTCAGGCAATGTATGCAAAGTACATATGAATCATATATGGATTTTGTGTTTACACTTGGGTCCCATGTCCCAGATATCTCATATGTCTGTAAACATCCCAAAATCTGAAAAAGAAAGCCCCCAAATCTCAGACACTTCTGCTTCTAAGCATTTCATTTAAGCAATACTAAACCTCTATTCCCAGTGTCTAGTTTAGGATCTGGCACATAATATGTGGCACCAAATAAATTCTTATTGAATTTTGAATGAATGAATGAAGTCATTTAATAGTGAGTGCAGGGAAATGAAAACTTACTTCCACATACTGAATATTATTCCTAAGTCCTTAAATTCATAATTACAGGTTTTAGTAAGAACATCCACTGTAGAGGAGGAGCCTTCACCTTAAGATTTTATTATAAAACATACATTTCTTTCTTACTCAATTTATCTATTAGATAAGCTTTGAATTTAAATTTTGAAAAGGAATTCTCTTGGGCATTGTTGCTATGACCCTCAGTGGACTTCATTTCATGTGAAAATTTCAGAACCCTGTGTTTAAAATTTGAAAGCATGCGTTGTATTCACAAAATAGGAAACCCTAGAACATTATATTATATTTCCATGCACATTATTCATACATTCCACCTTTGCATCAAAAAGGATTTTTGGAAAGCCTTTATGAATAACATTTAACAACAAAAAAGTCTTTTAGAAAAGTATCTTATAAAGAGAGAAACATGACTCACATAATTTTGAATATTTCCACTTTGATTCATTTCTCCCATTATTCCCTGTATGAACAGAGGTTATTATTTTTTTTAAAGTAAATAATGCCATTTTTTGTGCTTAGAGAAAATCAATGACTAGAAAATATTGAGTATGGATGTTTGCTGAGTATTTCCAGCTTTGACAATGCAGCTAGGACATAGATCACTTTATCAGTTGATGTCTTTTACTGACTCAGTCTGGTGGTGTGCTCCTGCCTTTTGTTGCTCCGCAGAAACAGTGCCGGCGTCTGTGGTGCACAAGCGCGGAGGGCAAGCACAGGGGCTGTCGCACACAGCACATGCCGCTGGCAGATGGAACGAGCTGTGGTCCTGGGATGGTAGGTTTTCTCCAAGGGTGAGTCTTGTAGCAGTTTGTCTGAGGATGTGATTGCTCTGTAGTTTGGCACTCTGTTCATTATTTTCTGTCAACTTTTAATCAGCCGTTGCCCTGTTTGTTTAATGTAATACATTGTCCACTGAATTAAATACAGTGGACCTTTGACTTACGAACTCGATTGGTTCCCAAGGGCTGGTTGTAACTCAAGTTGGTTGTAAGTCAATGCAGCTGATGTTTACCTGTATACACAGTATGGATAACAAGAGGCAGATGAATCTTCCATTAACCTAATTAACCCAAGCTGCTTGTGTGTCAGGCTGGTCGTACCTTGAGAGTCCACTGTATTTAATTTTATCCTTTTTGAAACATTCAGTAGATGAATATTAAAGTTATATAAAATTACACAGAGATATAACTGTATTATAGTCTTGTTATTAAAATTAGTACAGACATCAAATTCCACTATTTCAGGAAATCCTTTAAATTAAAAGATGTTCCTATTGCATGTATTTCATCCCATAATATCCATTTAAGTATAATTGAAAGCTTAAGTGGCTTCTTCAAGTCTTTATGGTTCTAAATGTATTAAAAGACACTGGACCCTCAAAATAACTGTCTACCATACTACACCTTTACTGTGGTACAAACACAGTGTGTTAAATGTGAGGATAGAATCAGAGTGTGCTCTGTGCTCCGGATGAAGTCCTTTTGGGCTCATCAGCCAGAGTATTTCGTGCTATTTTAATCTGTCAGCTTTCCTGGAGTTCTCATGCAAAAGGCACTCTCCCTTGGTAGTGAGTTGGCTGCTGCTGCTGCCTCTTTTTGCCTTCACATTGGGTGAAAGGAAAACATCTCAAAAATAAGTGCAGTTTAGTAGCTGAACTGAAGAGTCTTCCCCACCTGTTGCTATGGAAATGTTTACCAGCCATTGCCTTTTTAAAAATCACATTTCCATCAGAAGATGTGTGCTTCTGTAAGTATTGCTCATGTGAAAAAGTGAATTGGCTGTTAAGGTTTTATTTGGAACATCAGCAATTTTTACAGTACCTAGGGACTCACTGAAATGATGTAACACCAATTCCCTTTTTGTAATTTTAGGAGCAGAGTTCTGGTGGGCCTTCAGTTCATCCAGTGCTGAATCCTAGAGTTTGATCTTTAATTAATCTGATATTTCTATTTGGGGTTAAGAATTATAAAGAGTGCTTCACTTTTTTTTCCTTCTCATTTTCTGTGGCTAATATTAGTAAATAGCTATTTGAGGGCAAGATCACATTTGTGAAAGGAGCAGACTGAGGATAAGCAGAAGCACAACCTGCTTTGAAGTGGGAATGCTAAGCTATTAACAGGGACCAATGAGATGTCCCAAGATTTTTTACTTGATGGAAATCTAGGATTGGCCTTACTGTGTCCTTTAGCAAATTTAAAAGTTTAATATATGATGTGAACCTTGAGTACTGATTATATGTAGACAAAACAGTGGTTGATATATTTATAAATTTCAAGATATATATTATTTATAGCAAATTTATTGCTATAGTAAAAATCTAGTTTGGCCATGAACATTATTTTTTTGATATCTATAAAAGTTTTAACAAATATGGATACCAACATCCCAGTCAAAATTTGAATGCTTCTACCATTCTAAAAATTCAGTCTCATCTGTTTCTAGACAATTTCCCTTCCTTTCAGAAACAAATCCTATTGTGATTTCTATTTCCAAAGAGGTATGTTCTTGATTTTAACTTAAATGGAAACTACTGTATATGCTTCTTTTGAGAAGGGGGATAGATCAGGCTTCTTTTTATCAACATAGTGTTTTGGCATTTTATCCACATTATTGTGTCCATCAATATTCATTTCTTTGTATAGCATTGTAAATCAGCTGTACAAAGTACCTAATTTGTTTATTCTCCTGGCAAGAGACATTTAGATTCTTTTTTTTGACTGTTATGAATAATGTAGCTATGAACATCATTGTACAAGTCTTTTTTATAGACATGTTTGTGTTTCTCATGGAGTATAATTTCTGGGTCATACAGTAAGTTTATATTTGACTCCCTAAGAAAATGTCAAACAAATTTTGAAACCACGTGCAACATTTTAGATTCCCTAGAGCTATAGAGAAAGTTTTAGTTACTCTGCTTTCTTTGCCAGGTTTTGATATTGTTAATCTTTTTTTTTTATTAGCCATTCTAGTAAGTATAAAATGCAATCTCACTGTGGTTTTAAAATACATTTCTCTGATTCCTCAAGAAGCTAAAACTAGAGGTTCCATTCGACCCAGATATCCCCTTTCTTGATATCTTTCCAAAAGAATTAAAAGCATCACACTACAGTGATATATGCACACCTGTGTTTATAGTGGCACAGTTTGTAATAGCTAAATCTTCGAAACAGCCCAAATGCCCATCAGCTGATGAATGGAAAAAGAAGGGTTTTTTTTAATACAATGGAATACTGTTCTGCCATAAAGAAGGATAGGTTCCAGACATTTCTAGCTCAATGGATGCCCCTTGAGACCATACTCTTAAGTGAAATAAATCAGACACATGTGTTTAAATCCTATATTGTTTCTCTAGAGTGAGAAAACAAAAGTACAAGTAAGGACCAAACTGTATAAAAGATACTGGAAATTGGGAAGAAAATGTTCAAATGAGAAGAGGGATGAGAGAGGGTGGAGAGGAAAAGGAAAAAGGGGACATGACAAAAAAAGAGAATGGAAGGAAGAAGTGGAGACAAGGCTTTTGTAGATAAAGAGGGAACGGGGCTGGAGGGAAGGAGAGGGAGTGGGAAGAAAGAAGCAAGCTACACCCTAAAGAGGTGCAGATTCCCCATGAGGAGTGCTGTCATTATGTGGGTCCAAAACGTGCCAGTAATATAGAAAGTGAAGAAATACATTTCCCTGATGACCTGTTTTGTACATTTTCATTTGTTTACTAGCCATTTCAATAATTATTCAATGAGATGGTGTGGTTGTCATGGATTCAGTGGGATTCAAAGTAAATACAATGAGATACTGAGATAGACTTTAAAACTCTTTAGAATCAGTACAGATGAAGAGAAGAGGTGGCATTTGGAGTATAATACATGAGTCATGATAGATTAAAAACAGTGAGCCCTGGGCCGGGGATTTAGCTCAGTGGTTTCGCTGCCTGCTGCGCAAGGCCGAGGACCCGAGTTTGATCCCTGATACCAACAAAACAAAACAAAACAAAATAAAAAAACCCAGTGAGCCCTATATGTTATCTGTATTCATTATTAAATGGGCTTCTTACTGAAGGAGGATTAAAAAAATATCCCATGGTATAATTTTGTCTTAATAGTCTCCTGTAGTAGTGGTGGTGAACCTATAGCATGCAGAGCATGCTGGGCTGTTTGTATCATTGAAAGCTTTAACAAGTTCACCATCACTGTTAATCTTGCGACTATCTTATAAGTGAGTTTTTATGTTAAATACTTTTGATGGTAAATCAACTTGTGTGAAGCCATGGTTAACCCATCTGATAATGAGTTAATTTCACTACTTGATGAATTACTTACTATCTTTTTCATCCCCTAATCTCTTCAATAGAGAGAGAATTATTTTAATTGTTCCTGGGAGAGGCCCATAAATTGCACCTACTTTGAGATTTTGTTTTTGTTTACTTCTAATATGGCTTTCTCATAGTAGGCATGAATCTTTATCACAGATGGCACGAAGCATTCTTACTGCTAATCAACTTGATTAGGATTTATTCATTCAACAAAGATTTATTAAAGGCCTGCTATGTTGAGCACTATTCTGGGTGCTGAAGAAATGTGTTTGAACAAAGCAGAAACGACACCTGACCTCAAGAGAGCTTACAGTCCAGGAGCACACTAGAATATTACAAATAATTAATATAATGGCACTGTGGACCTAGTTGAAGTCATGTACAAGAAAAAATACAGAAGGAAAAAGATTTTAATTTTCTTGTAGGAGAGGACAGATTGCTATTTAAGATATAGTGGTCAAGATAGACCTTACATGAAGTTATGAAGAGAGGTGTCTTCCAGGAGGTGAGGAAATTAGCTGTGATGGTATCTGGGGTGAGTTCTAGATGAGGGCAACAGCTGAGCTCCTAAGACTAGAGTAAAGCTGAAGTGTTCAAGGAAGAGCAAGGAGAGAATTGCAGTTGGGCGAAAAGGAAGGGAAAATGAGACTTGTAGGAAGTAATGGAAGGAATATTATGCAGAGCCCTGCAGGCCATTGTAAAAACTTTGTGTTTACATAGAGTAAACTAATTGAAGAATTTGAAGAGACTCATCACCTGACTTAGTTTAAGAGCTAAGTTTTAAAAAGAATCATTCTGCGTTGTAGAGAACAAAAGTAGAAACAGAGGCCGCTTGTCACTTGTTGCAGTGTTAGAGGTGCAAGATACTGGTGGCTAAAACCAGAGAAGTAACAATGAGGAAGAGGAAAAGGCAAGTTTGGTATATTTTAGAAAGATCTAGAACATTTGCTAATGTTTTTGATGTGGACTGTTCAAGGAGGAAAAGGAGATGGGATGATTGTAAATTTTTTTTCTGAGCTACCTAGAACAACTCAAGAGAAACAGGTATTTGTGGGAAAGGCAGAATTTTGGTTTCAGGTGTGACTTTGAAATGTTTAATAGACATTCAGGTAAATATAAGTAAGTAACTGTATCTGAGTCTGGAGCTCAGAAGAGAGATTTGGATTGGGAGTACTTGTTCATAGAAAAAAATAAAGGATCAAGATAGAGCCAGGAGATGGTCCAATATTAAGAGGTGGCAAAAAGAAAAAAAGAAAAAACTAAAAAGGACTGGCAGAAGAAACTGAAAAAGAGAAGAAAACCAAGAGTGTATGGAATCTTGTAAACCAACGGAAAAAAAAAGGATCAAAGAGAAAGAGTGATCCATTGTGTTAGATACTGCAGATAAATGAGGAAAGACAGAGTCAGAACTGGCCATTGATTAGGGTGGTATGGGTGCCGCTGGTGACCAACACATGAGCAGGTCCAGGGAGGAACGGGGTTTCAACCCTGTCCGGGCTGAGAGTATAAGACAATAGGCAGAGTAGGTTAGACAGTGAGCGCAGGAGAAATACCCCAGTGGCTAGTGAGGGAGGTGGGAGCTAAGGAAGGATTAGCTGTTGCCTTTGTTGCTTTTAAAGTTGGAGAAATGAGCCTATCTGTATATTGATGGGAATGACCTAGTTAAGCACTCTCAAATCATCTCTAGTAAAGGATAAGTTTATTTTTCATAGTCCTTAGTTAGGTATGAGCTGAGACAGCACTTTTATGCAAGATAACAATCATTAGCCAGGCATGGTGTCACACACCTGTGATCTCAGCACTTTGGGATCCTGAAGCACTATGACACGTTTGAGCCCAGCCTGTACAGTTTGGCAAGATCTGTCTCCAAATTTAAAAATAACAATTTCCAAAGATGTAGCTCAGTGCAAAGGCCCTGGGCTCTATTTAAAATAAAATTATTTGATGGGCACTTGGGCTGCTTCCAAGCTTTAGCTATTACAAGATGTGATTTTTTTTATAAAATGGAGTACTACTCAGCCAGAAAGAATGAGAGACTAGAGTCATTTATAGCTAAATAGATGCACATTGAGGCCATGCTCTTAAGTGAAATAAATAGGACACACATGTAAATACTGAATAGTTTCTCTAGTGTGAGAAACTGAAAGTGTAAATAAGGGTTAAAATGATTAAAATGAATAATTGATAATTTGAAATAGG